ACTGGAGGCAAACTGCTTCCTTAAAGTAATTTAATATGTCATTTATCATCATTATTTAAATGTAATGGATCTCATTGCTTATGTTTGTTGTTAATACCATATTTTATGTAAGGGCCATGCTACAGACCCCCACTGACAATCCCCAGTGAGGTGTCACCCCCCTATTGGCTGAAAATAAAAAAAAATAAAAAAAAAAAAGGCAAACAGTTTTTGGGCCAATGAAAAACGACCCCCAGTGACCCCCACTGGGGGTGTTAGGCATTTTTCTTTATGTAATCTGTCTTTTATTGACTCCAAAATCATTGAGATGTAATCTGTCTTAAAGGTTATTGCAGAAAATTATTAAGGGTTGGTTTGGCATGTTGAGAAAAAGTCAAAAAGTTACTCAAAATGAAAAAAAGTTATTACTATTCACAAATTAAAAATATAAAAAAAAATCAATTTCCACAATATTAGTACAATCCAAAAAGCTACACAGTGATGGTACTGAAGTGATGGGAAATTTACGCAGTGATGGTACAAAAAAAAAATAGATATATATTCATTAAATTGAAGGGCATTGTTGGGTCCGTGGAGGCCCACCACAGATCCCGTTTCGATAATCCGAACCATTCAATGTGTAGAACTTGTCGAGTATTATATGCTTGAAAAAAATTACATTGATCGGATATGGATAGTTATGTGATCAAATCAGATTTTTTTCCAGCCGTCTATTATTCGCCATCCATTTTTCTCATACAAAACTGTTTTGATCACATAGCTATTGATATCCGATCAAAGTGATTTTTTAATGAGTTCTACACATTAAACGGTTTGGATTACTGAAATGGGACCCGTGGTGGGCCCCAACGGGCCCAACAGTACCCATGTAGCCTCATGCTATATATGCATATGTTCAAATTCTTCTCACCATTTCGACCATTCTGTACGATCCTTTCGTAGCACTGTCACTGATGAGTCTAGAACGTATGGGTAAAAACGTAATTTTACTATTTCATATAATATTTTAATACACATTTTTTCATAAAAAAACAAAAAGCTATCCCAAGCAACCATCTTTTTTTCCTCTACTTTTTAGCTCAAAAAGTCAAAAGTGTACTTATTTAGGACACCCCAAACATCTCCTAAATGGGAACATAATTTTGGAATCTCAGCCAAATGTCATTTTTGGTTATGATTATATTTATATATTTAAAGTAATTTAGTATGTCATTTATCATCATTATTGAAATGTAACGGATCTCATTACTTATGTTCATTGTTAATACCGTATTAACATATATTACGTGATAAACATAGTAGCATTATTACAATTTAATTGCTTGAGTCTAGACATAGTAATAATAGTATCTAGAAATTTATAAAAATTAGAACTCAAAGCTGATCATACTTGTAAGTTATTTTTATTTTTTTCGTGGGGTTGGATGGTTGGGCAAAATATCAAAAATAACTGGGGGATTATTTTTGTTTTTTTGTTTTTATAGAAAGAAGTTTGTTTATTTTTTATTTTTATTTATTTATTTTTTTGAGTTGGGAATCCACCATTGAATTTATGCTTGGCCTCTTTAAACTTGATTTTTTTTTTTTGAAAAAAAACTATTTTTTTAAAAGAAAGATCTACTTAACTTTTAAAATAAAAAACATTTTTTAAACATTTATCAAACACATCAATTTCTTTTAACAATAATTTTATCTTAGAAAGTAAAAAATTTACTAAATGGCCTTCGGTCAAACCAACTCTTACTCTCTCAAAGAGTATTATAATTCATTTATGATATTTTCTTGTTGACTCAAGTTTAGATAAATCATAATAATAATGAATTCATAGGTTAAGCAAGTCGTCCATAGGAGGAATAACATATTCAAATTTTCCATCAATAGCTGAAAAATAAATATAAATAATATAAGACTTCCAAGCAGGCTATATATATATAAAATCTGTAACTTCCAAACATGTCAGTTTTCATGGGGTGCACTGCACACTATATTTATAGCTGAGCCACCCTGACGGCCACACAGCAAAGTTGGCGCCACCATGAATCACGATTTTAGTCAAAAACATATGAGAATAATAATAATAATAATAAATACTACCATACGTATAATATAAACTAATAAATTTTTCAAATTTCTTTTATTTATTATCATATTATTTGCTTGTCACGTTAGTTAGTAATTTTTATTTTTATTTTATAGAATGTAATAACTTATAAAATATATGCCAATTAAGAATGAGGTATTTTTTTTAAGGTTCCTGATATTATGATTTTATAATATAAAGGACATCAAATATTTTTATGATGTCTAAGGTCCCTTAACAGGATCCAGAGAAATTTCAGTCCCAGAGAAATTCTCTCCAGAGAAAATTGAAATCCAGAGAAATTTCAGTCCCAGAGAAATTCTCTTCAGAGAAAATTGAAATCCAGAAAAATTTCAGTTCCAGAGAAATTCTCTCCAGAGAAAATTGAAATTTCTCTGAGTACCAAATAAATCTAGAGAAAATTGTGGAAAGGAAATTTGTATGGCTATCTAGGAAATTTCTTTGACTTCGCAAATTTCTCTGGCTCTATTAACTACAATTAAACCCATGTCTAACAAACCCACAAACCCACAAATTTTTCTGGTCCAAAACCAGAGAAATTCTCTTCAAACCAGACAAACCAGAGAAATTTTCTTCAAACCAGACAAACCAGAGAAATTCTCTGGATTGAAACCAGAGAAATTCTCTCTATTTACAGTAAAGTTGTATTTTTATGAACAGAACTTGGTGATTGTACATTGATCTAGGAAATTTCTCTGACTTCACAAACCAGAGAAATTCTCATCTCCAATCCAGAGAAATTCACTTAACCCAGATAAATTCTCCCTCTCCAACCCAAACCAGAGAAATTCTTCCTCTCCAATCCAGAGAAATTCCAATTTCTGTGATTGGGATGCCAGAGATGGAGGTAAATTTCTCTACTTTAACATTATGGGCAACTTTGTATACATCAAGAAGATAAATAACTAACAAAAAACCTCAATTCAATTCAATGGGATTCTTAAATAAGAACCAACCATATATGTAATAACTAACAAAAAGCAGTTTCTCCTTTTCTTTCTGATTTTTCATTTCATTTATTTTCTTCCCCCTACCCTTCATGCTTTGTTTGGAGAATAGATTTATGTAGGGATTTGTTGATGGAAAAAGTGAAGGAAAAAAAAAAATTCTACTACATTCACTTTTCCTTTCATTTTTCTTCTCTCTCCTCAAATCCTTTCACTAACCCAAAGTTCCAAACACAAACACCTCCTTTCTTGGAGAATAGGCAAAATATGTCTTCTATTATCTTGGTAGCTGAGAAAGAGAATGCTGGAAAGGAATTTAAATTGGAGAACCAAAAATTCACAAAACTGTTCGAACCACAGAAACATGCAGTTCTTCCCAGATCAGGTTGATTTGTCTTTTGGATCCTCCTTTCCAATCAGATCGTCGTAAGTAACAGGTACACTCATTCTATCATGAACAGATGCCCGTTTCCTCTCAGCATCGGACTGCACAAGTTGGTTTTGCACATGAGCTTTCGGCCCTCACGTCTGCCGCGAAGAACCTCGGCAGCACCGCGCGAGAGACGAGCTCGATGTCGCGGATCTTCAGTCCGGCGTAGGAGATGAAGATGAGCGCCTGGATCGCGAGGGCTTCGGAGACGAAGATGTATGCGATTGCGATGAGAGGGAAGGAGAGGAGGAGAACGAGGACGGGAATCTCTACTGGGTAAAGCTTTGGGAAGTGTTGGAAGATGAGGAGGACTGAGAGTCGGGTTGTTGGAGGTGGCAGTGGGTCAAATGATGAAGATAGTATAAAGGACTGAAATTTCTCTAATGTATGTTTAGGGACCTTAGACATCAAAAAATAATTTTGTGGATCTCTTCCATTACGAAAAGTGGGAGAGGGACCCTAAACCAATTTTCCCATTAAGAAAATCTCTATTTATTATGATTACATTACTACTCTCCAAAATTTTTATATATATTAGTGTACGCGCCGGGAAAAGGGAGGGTGCTTTCACATCACAACATTTCGGTTGAAATTTGTCTTGATTCATATTATAAGGTTCGTTAATGTATCACATATATAAAAAATAGGTTAATCAAACATGTATACCCCATGATTAAACCCTAATTATTTTTTAAAAAAAGTATGCTAATAGTATTTAAAATATATATATATATGTGGTTTTATTATGAGCTACAAATGTCTAATTATTTTAATTTTTTTTATAAATAACCTACTCAACAAATCCTACAATATGAATTATTTAAATTATCAAAATAAATTCGGAAAATGCCCTCACGAGCTCACACCACAAGACACATCACGCTCCCTAGATTCGTGTGTTTCCATCCGATAAATGTGCTTTTAAATTTGTAAGATATAAATTTTAATTTTAAATTAAAAGTATATATATTATGTATTGTTCAAGTGATAAAAATATTATAAATTAAAAGTACATATGTTGTTCAAGTGATGAAAATGTTGTTTTCCAAATTGAAGGTCTTGGGAGTAATGATACTACTAAGGTTTGTTTTTGGTGGGATTCAATGGTGGGCATAGAAGTGGAAAAAAAAAATCATGTTTTTATTTTTAGATGGGAAAATCATGTTGACCATGTTCAAATACTATCAAGTACACTGATTTTTAAAGCAAAGAAAAGCAAAAGCAATATAAATAAATACAAGAAAGTTATAGTCAAATGCAAATTGATGTTTCATTTATCCACACATGGATCTAATTTAAATTAAGCCATCCGGTACTGGATCATAATCTCTACATTTCAATAATATATGGTTTAATCATCAGTGCCAAAGTAACGATCCCCGAACTCTCCCATACCTGGTATGACACGAAATTCTTCATTCAGTGCCGCGTCAATCTCTGATGTGACAATTTTCAAGAAAGGGAACCGTTTGCACACACTATGTATTCCTTCAGGGGCCTAAACGCAATGTAACACCATAAAATCATCACATATGAGGATTTATATATATATAACACCATAAAATCATCACATATGAGGATTTATATATATATAAGTTATTATTTTTTTTTTGATAACTCAGGATGTCTGGACCAGCTTGCGCGCACCTCGACTAATTCCTGGGGACCAATCCCACCGTCCACTAGAGGGGGGCACATTTAAAGTCAGAGCAAGCTTGCGCGCACCTCGACTAATCCCTGGGAGACCAATCCCACCGTCCACTAGCGGGAGGGCCATTTAAAGTCAGAGCAGAGCTCCGTATGGAATGACCCAACACAAGAATTGGTAGCACCTAAGAGGTTTTGAACCTGAGATTTAGAGAGAAGCAAACTCCTAAAACCCAAGCCTTCACCACTAGGCCAACCCTTGGAGGTTATATATACAAGTTATTATATATCTAAATGTTGGTTTCTATGCATATGTATGCACAAAATCTGATATATGATAATTTGAGGGATTGAAAGAATATTTTAGTGAGTTAATGGCTTGTATTGCCAGTACTATATTGATGTTTGAACTGTAGTAGTGTGTTTGTAGAGTGTGTGCAGAGTGTGTGCAGAGAAAGGGGAGGGAGAAAAAAATGGTGGTCTTGATGGGGGTGTGAAGATGGGGTGAGAAATGGGAGAAGAAGATGAGAGGTGTTTGGTGGTGAGAATAATATTGGTGTAGTGTTTGGTTGCTAGAGAATAATGATAATTTTGGTATTTATAGACCAAAATGCACTGACAATAGAAAATTCTGTTACCATCTAACCATCTTAACAGTCAGATAATGGAGGCGCGGTTTGTATATAATGTCAGAAAAAGTAGAAGAGGTCAATGTAATTTTAGAAACCGCAAAGGAGGTCTTTATAATTGTCAAAAATCTCAAGGGCGAACCTTGTAATTAGCACTAAATAGAAGCATGCACTTGCAACCAGCAGTGAGAAATAACTCACAGAAATGAGATTCAGAAATATTATGCGGGATTCTGGAACTCCTTTCTGTACGAGTAGATCAATTGCTTGGTTAGCAGAGTTACCTTCAAGAAAGTCCATATGGTTTGTTAGGTTGTAAATATAACAATGCATGAATTTGATTGAAAAAAAGGGATAAAAGAAGAAAAATAGAAAGAGCAAAAGGAGAGAAAAAAATCATCAGAATGTAACTCATCCTCTTTCCTGTAGGCCCATTTTGCATGACACAAACCTTAATAGATATTGAAAACAGACGAGCAAAAAACATAGGAAAAAATTTAAGGAACTACTAGGATGATGGGTTACCTGTAGCAAGAACTGGATCCAGAAGCAGCACGTGCCGTTCCGAAATATCCTTGGGAAGTTTTTCATATATAAGCTGCATAAGAGATGACAATTTACAGTTACACATCAATTCATGATCCTTGTGACAAAAAGAAAGCAAAGTCCCTGAGGAAGGCGGGAAAAAAGATCACCTGTTTCCCATCGTCACCATGACGGTGGATCAGAATTTTTCCAATTTTTATTCCTTGGCAACAAGCCCGCAATGCATTCTCCATACTTTCACCACTGTAGAAACATTTATGAACATTAGCATCAAGCACCAAGTGCAAGGATGCTATTTAACATAAATAATAATGATAATAATAATAATAATCCGCAGATGATGATTACTGGCATCACATTTTGATTTAAATAAAGTTTTGTAGTGTTTGTAGTGCTGCTGAAGTATTAAAAGAGTACTCATAAGGCAAAATATCTTTAAAGAAAAAATATCAAACAAATACACCAAAAGATTGTTCTTCCACATTGCAAAAAATCTATGCATATTTTTTTTTTTGGGGTGCAATGTACTCTTAATTTTCTCATCCTCCTAACTAGGGGGAAGCCAAAATCGAAATAGTGGAGAAAACTAGAAACAGAAATCACATCACTTTTGAAGGGCATAAATAGAGAGGATGGTCCTGACAAAAGACACCCGCTTTTGCATCAATGTGACTTCATTCTGGGTATCACAGTGACCTTACAAAGTAAACCAAAAGAAAATTTAAAAAATGGAACCAGAAGTGGAACGGAAAAAAAACAAACTATAAGGTAGTGTCTGATTAATTACAATGGAATGATTATTCATTTAAAATATCTATTCTTGACTAAAAAAATAATTAAAAATTACATTACCAATGGAATCATAATTCACCATTATAATGGGAAATGGTTTTTATAATGAATTCAGTAAAATTATTTCCAGAACCAGAAGTGTCACTATTAAAATACCTGATTTAATGCTCACCTTCGAATAATGGAAACTCCACACAATTTCTTGCAGAAGTCAACCCCAGTATATACTGACCCTGCATTAGTATACCAACAAATTAACAAAATTTATGTTTTGGGATAGGCAACTTAAGAATACAACATAAAACAATTACATGTACCAAAAGGGAAAAAAAATGTGAACAGTTCCAATTTGCAGATAGAAATATATTGTAGTCCACTACCTTTTTTTGCTGTTTGCTTTTTCAATAAAAGGATATGCACTCCCTCTTTATGACATACAAAGTAAAGACAAACAAGAGAACAGTATGATGAATGTTAATAGCTAAATGAAGTTTAAAGTTAAAACTAATTTGCCATGAATGTTTAATTTTAGGTGTCACAGAAAACTACAAAATTATTCAACAAGAAAGAAAGCAAATGAGTAAGAAGACTAAAAGTGAGCTGGACAAATTATTTCATTCTCATGTACACTTTTTAAAAGCGAAGGAAACATATGCTTTCAGAAAAGATGATATAAAAAAAGGAATAAATCACACCCCAATGAAACAACAATCACAGTCATCATAAGTTAATCCCAACAATTTATAGTTAGTTTTAAAATCTAGTTTAGCCATATGTAGAGGAATATACCAAACCAAACCAAGCCAAGCCTTAAGTCCCATCAAATGGGGTCGGCATATGTAGAGGAATATCTTTTCATAAAATTGACACCATCAGGAGATACTAAATTATATGCTAGCAAGGAAAAACGCACAATCATATATGTAAAAAAACACAAACAAATAAAAATTGAAGGCATATAAAGTTCTCAGTTTAAATTCAGAGAACTGAAAGAAACTTGAGATAAAAAGGAAGTAGTCTACTTATATTCCAAATCTCATCAGAGAGAGACGAAGAGACTTGAATTGAGTCCATGCCTTGCTACTAATTTTTCTCCTAAAACACACCTGTTGGAGTGACCACTTGCTTCTCAGTAAAAGGCAAATGGCCAAGTCCATGCTCCACAACCTGAAAGTCAAAAACAATAAAAGCAATGATGATTGGTAAGATTTAACATGTTTATTCTATTAACCTTTTGTAAATCAATGGAATTTGGATAAGCTAACCAGTTGAAAGTACCAAACGAATAAGCCGATCCGAATAAAATACAAAATCATGCTTTGATATATCATGATCTCGAATCAGCGTATGCATACCTCTTATCTGCAGCATGGGTCTCCAGTATGATCATAACTACAACTCAAGATAAATATTCGCATTTCAATCACGGGGCATGAAAAAAATGTTAACAATATTCCCATTCCTTTATGTCGATGTGAAAGGCCTATATGCAACAGCACTCTAATGTTAACTCACTGGTTTGTTGTTGTTACTGTTCACTATCCCCAAATTTTTTTTTATACAATGTGCCACCATCCCAGAAGCAGAAACCACATCTTAGTTGCAAAGTGGGGCTCACAGTTAAAAAGTTGTAGCCCAACCTTACTTGAGGTTAGTTTTTGTAACAACCCAAAATTTAGGGTGTGTTTGGTTTGTGTTTGTAGAGTAGTTTTGAGATAAAAAGTACGAAAACTTGTTTGGTTTGCCTTTTTTCAGAAATAATTTTGGAAAATTGTTTTGGGGAGAGAGTTTTAAAAAAAGTGATTGATTTGATGTGTATAAGAGAGAGAGATTTTGGAAAGTAGGTAACCAAACAAAATTTTAAGATTTTTTTTGGAAAAGTTTGTCTGGTTTGATTACTCTTAAAAATTTGTTTGTAGAGAATTTTTTCAAAAATTTTTCTGAGAAACAAACCAAACAAGGCCTTAATTTTTTTGTATCCCCCCTCCTCTCAGAAGTTTGTCAAGATCACTGATCAATAAGATTTTGGGTGATTACCCATAATCACCCAAAAAAAGATGGTCATTATTTTGATTTTCTTCCATCCCCCCCCCCCCCCCCCAAAAAAAAGGCTAAGACCACCATGGGAAATGAAAATAATAATAATAACAAAATAAAGAAGATACAAAAAGGTGTACCTGGAATGTCGATTGAATAACGTAAACATTTGAATAGATTTTGCAAAGATTATGCTGACCAAGTTTTGTGCGGATATGTTGGACAATTAAATCAATGGCAACATGATTTTCACCTCCCCGGGGTATGATAACATCAGCATACTTCTTTGCTGGCAGGACAAAATCATCAAAAGCGGGTTTCACAAACTTTGCGTACTGCACAATCAACAAGGTATTTGCAAATTTTGTTATCCCATTATAATTAAATAATATAAATAAATCTAGTAAAGTTGCACGTTTACTAAAGGTTCCTAAAAGTAGCACACCAATAGCAATGAAAAATTAAAACCATATGAGATAAATGTGCGTGTTCCTAGACAAAATCTAAACAAAAATACAATATATTAGGGAGCGCAAAGAGAAAGAAATAGAGCCGTTCACCAAAACTCTCTACTTCTTTTTCTTTGCGCTCCCTAATATAAATGCTGCAGCCCTTTTGGCAGCATTGGTGGATACTTTATTTACTTATCAGGAAAAAATGATTCATATGAACGAGTCAAGTCTTAAACCAAGTATCTGTACTGTGCCCCTTTCCTCCAATATGAAGAGACTTGAACTTGGGTACTGATGACTTCAAGAAAATTCAGAGTGCATATGGACGAATCACCCTAGTAGTGTCAAAATATTCCATATGGCTTCCCTTCAAACACATCATCATCTTCCCTAGCCAAGCCGCCCATCTTGGTCAACAATTTCCGAATATTTGACCATAAATAGACCAAAGTTGATTCGATAACACACAGGTGAGAAGGCCCACAGACATTCTATCAATCTTATTTACTTTCCTGCCTGGCAACTGGCCTACAATTATGTTCTGTGGCTAAAATCCCAGAAAATGCATAAATTCCAAGCCAAGTTCAGCAAAATTCCATCCAGGCATTCATAGCCAAAACCACATAACATTCGTGCTTACAAAATCAGCTTACTAAAGACAGAAAACATACACAGAGGGTCTCTGTTACTGTCAGTGGCCTTACCAAAGGTTTCTCAAAAACCATCCTCAGAAATTGCATGCCACCAGCATTGCATCAGATGAAAAAAGCAAACAATATCGTACAACTAAGAAAACAACACATTCCAGACTTAGTTGAATAGTAAGAATATAGTGTAAAACACAACCAAAAGAAAGAAATTAACATAAGAAAAAAGGCTTGCCTGTTCAAGCACAGAGTTTATGTCCCTACCCCTCTCAACTATATCACGCCTTATTCTACGAGCAAGCCTCACATCATCATCTATAAAATTGCAGTATCAGTCAACAAATAGAATAGGAAGACAACCAAGAGAGAAAATTTGTGATATATATAATAAAGAGATGCCTTAACATTAAAAAAGTATATCATTAATTGGACATATAAGAAAAGTAATGTACTAAAGATGGAATGAATAAAACTTGTTAAAAACTCATAATATCTAGCATAAAAATTGCTTAATATTACTACCAAAAGATTCAAGATAATAATGCCAAACATGAAGCTATGTTTATATGCATGATCATATAGAAATGCTAGAACTACAGTTTGCAAGGAGGCAGGGTGTCTATGGCCATCAAACGGAAGCTATCTGCAATGAACATGCGCAGAGCTAATACACAAAAAAATAAAAGCAAGGCAATGGATCATCCTAAAAGAGTGAAGCTGACCTCAATAACTCAGGCCTGCATAGGATATTTACCATGACCTTTAAGCATTGAATCAACTATGTTATTCTACAATGTAGCCTCATTAGACAGAGACCTTTATTATGTACAAGATTTTCAAAAACCAGACAGCACTGCAACAATAATGTCCTACAAAACAAAGCTATAATAACAAAATTGCTACTAAAATGGACGATTTTATGGGATAATACATGAGCAATAATCTGAGTGGAGGAATGAGACCTGTGTCAACAAAAATCTTCATATTCATCAAGTTACGAACACGTGAGTCATGGAAAACTAGAATTCCGTCCAAGATAATTACATCAGATGCATTTACCTGACAAAGAACGTTAAACTGTAATTCAAAGAAGTTGAAGGAAAATTCATAAATCATCATCAAAACAACATTGTCAATATCAAAAACACAACATTCTCTCTCCGTCTGCCTCTCTGAGACACACGGGGCAGAGCAAATATTCTTGATGCAGACAGTAATTACACTGATCCTCTTGTAGATGATGAAGATGGCTCCTATTTCAGATCAAGAGCTTGTCCTAACATGGAAACAATTTTCAAACTCAGGCCTTTGAAAGTGATCTGAAGTTTTGGCTGTTGACAGCATGCATTTTTCTTTAAGTGGTGTGATATTGAGTAGGCATTAACCAAATTCTGACATTGAAAGAGTTTGTCTTATTTCTTTTTCACTGTCATGAAATAGCTTTCACTTGGAGACAACGAGATTAGCCTCAAAGGTGGACTCAACGTGCTCCACTCACATAAGTACAAGAATCACCAATTTATTCTTTTTTCTGTAAAATAAATAGTGACGCAAGCATTAACAGTTTCTTCGTCTCCCAAACTGCAATGAAATGCAAAATCAGCATCAGAAGTTGTCCATAAATAGGTGAAACCTGTGGTTAGTTGTTTAAGATGCCCACATAGTGGCCATGCTAGCTGGCTGCTACAGACAGAGACTGTAAATTGAGGTATGCCATCTATTCTTAGGCTAGGACCTGTTTCCTCTTTCAATATACAGGGAAAAACCGAGTCTGCAAGTTGTCAGTAAAATAAATAAAAAAAGCAATCCCAATTATGGGTGGAAAAAGATTAATTTACTAGCAAACAGGTGTGTAGAGCCAACTAAGATTACTAATGCAAGGCATGGGTATGGCCATGTCTGGTCAAATCGTAGCTAAAGCAGAACACAAATGGATAGAAACCAAGAGGAGGAGCCTGGAGCCTAACCAGGAATACTTTCACAACTTATTTCTGCTTCATTCAGCCTGAGGAGTTTGTTATTCAAAGAAAACTCCGTATCTCACAAGCCCTCTCATGGGCATTGAAAGTATCTGCCCCAAATGTTGAGAACTGTGAGAAAATTTGATCCACTCCTCTCCTCAATGAGGTCAACAACATTAAAAGCTAAATTCAGAAACAGATTCTTGCCCACACCCCCTAACAAAGGTAATTAATAATACTCAACCCAGCCCAGCCCAGCCCAGCCTAACGCCCTCTTTTCCCACACCAGAATTGTTAAGAAGCTTGGCGTTTCACCTGTGAGGTTAATGTGGTAAGATAATATTAATGCAGGTGAAATTTATCCGAGAAGGGTCAAAAACAATTATTGAATTTGCAATGACTTAACAAGTCTTTATGGCTCAGATATTCTACAGACCTTGACCATAGCATGTAATAAAGGAGGACATGCATAGCCAAAATTGGGATATTAAAATGCATGATTAGCAATAACATAAAACATAGAAGTAGATTTATTCTTGACAAGTTCAAGGTCACAGCAATTCTTAACAAAATTATATAAAGGAGTTGCAAAGCTTTTATCAAGTGCGATGGATACCAAGGACCACATTAATAGTACATACAAAATGTTGCATAGAATATTACCTGCCGGAAATTGTCTGCACACCTGCGATGGTTTTTAAAATCGTATATTGGGACCTGGACAGATTGGCCACTTTTGAGTTTCTCAATGCACTCTACAAGCTGTTCGGAGTCAAAAGCATCTACACACAAGCAAACATATATTTGAGATTTGCACAAAAGCTACTGTGCATTCTACTGAATTCCAGTTGCACCATATAGTCAGCAAAGTGGACAAAAAACACCAACAGAGTTTACATACAAATTAAAGGTTAATTATAAATTTTATTACCAGGATGATCAAAGTTATATTCATGCACTCGTTGTGCTTCTTCAGCTATCAAGTCACGATAAAATGAATCCTACATATAAGCCACACCAAACATATATCAGGAAATTTGAAAGAGAAATATGCTTTCATAAAAGAGTGAGTAATCCAAGCCAATCAACCAGCTGTCTATCAAAATTCCTATTGCATTCCATATTGTAGCCATAGAATCCTTAACAACAAAAAGTTGAAAAATAAACATACCATACATGACATTTAACTCTTTGGTAAAAAAATCCCAACCATACACTGCCAGGTATCACTCACAATCATGGCCATAATACCAGAAGGCCGTTGTAAAGCACTCAACAAAGTGAGCTGGGTTTTTACTGGGGCCAAGTATCATTCAATGAAATCAAAAACCAAAAGAAAGAAAATTACAGAAAAAATGAAATCTAGAAAAGAAACCAAGAGAAATAAGGTGTGCAGAACACAACAACTGGTCAAAATGATCAAAAAGTTCATTACATTCACCACCGCAGTAGAACATTACACTGAGCATCAGATTTTGAGTAAGAATTATGTATACTAGCTCAAAAGCACCTATCAATGAGAGCATCAGAGAAAATATAATCATAACTAACTAACTAACTTGATATTCCATGGGGCCAAGTATCATTCAATGAAATAATAAACCAAAAGAAAGAAAATTACAGAAAAAATGAAATCTAGAAAAGAAACCAAGAGAAATAAGGTGTGCAGAACACAACAACTGGTCAAAATGATCAAAAAGTTCATTACATTCACCACCGCAGTAGTACATTACACTGAGCATCAGATTTTGAGTAAGAATTACGTATACCAGCTCAAAAGCACCTATCAATGAGAGCATCAGAGAAAATATAATCATAACTAACTAACTAACTTGATATTCCAACAAAACAAAAAATCATTACAGATCAAAGTATTCCAAAAAAAAAAAAAAAATTGTATTACCAAACTTTTCATATGTTTTCTTCGAGCCTACTATTTTGGGCTTTTTACATTGCTTTTTTCTTTTTTTTTCTTTTTTTGTTGTCTTTTACTCCAATTTTTTAGATGGCATCAAACTTTAAATAAATAAGTTTAATGTCAGCCTTTTTTATATTATTAATTTGATGTTATCTAAAAATATTGCTGATAAAAAAAACACTTACAGAAGCTTATAAAGCAAGATTAAAAGTTGATGCCAAACCCAAGTATTAGTAATAACAATTTTAATTCAAGATATATCTACACTTGTCGTTTACTCACCTTACTTATCAGTCATGTATCTATGGACAATTTTGGAATTGCTGACAAATCAACATTGATGACTACTCTATTATGTTGTTAGTCAGGACTTTTAGATAAAACCAAATTTGTAACAAATAATTTTACATTCCCGCCAAGTATGAACATCATAACAACCCTACAAGAAAGTATCACGGTGGGTGCCTAACAAACAAAAGTAGTAGAGTGCATGCAAAACATTTTACTCGTTTTTATAAAGGATTTGGCATCTATATAAGCACACAAGCATCAAGTAGAGCAATTACACAGAAAACAAAAAAAAAATCCTCAAATGTTTTTAGAGTATACCTGATTGACAAGCACAACCCGATGATCATGAAGTTGTTGAATGATCAGGTCACACACTGCCGTCTTACCAGAAGCCGTACCTCCTGAAACTCCTACTCAATTTTCACAAAACATGAAAATTAAAATACAACTTCATCAAACTGAAATTTATTTCACATCAATCGTACCAACATCGTAGCCCTAAAGCACAGCGAACCGATAATAAATAGAAAAATTAATATTAATATATATATATATATATATATAAAATTCAATTTAATACGTGAGAAAATCGAAAGAAAACAGAAGGAAAGCTTACAGACTTTCGATTGCAACAGATTTTCTGAGTAATCAAACGGAGAAAAGAAAAGTGAAAATAAATTACCGATGACGAAGAACTGTTTGGGGGAGTTGGAGTCGGCTAGGGTTGAAGATGACGAAGCGGAGGAGAGGACGCCGTCTAATCGTAGGCCAGAAAAATGAGGTCCCGACGCTGCCTCCATCACTACATCTACCGGCCTCCACTCCTCCGGCATTGTCTCTCTCTTCTAAAGCAGTGTTTTGTAAGGACTCCGAAAGGCGCTTCAATTTGACGCAATCTCTTGTGCTCTGATGCTCTGATTTTTGGTATCTTCAATCGTGGAGAGAGAGAGAGAGAATATGTGCGTGGTATGTTCTCACTTCTCCTCCTCCGGCATTTCTGGTGCTTGATGCGCTCTCTCTCTCTCTCTCTCTCTCTCTCTCTACCATCTTTTTTTCTGTTTTTGTAGTACATGGAAATTTTGTGAGTTTGCGTATGATGTAAGCTACTGCCTCGTTTGGCGGTAGATGACAAGTCTATAACGTCCTTCGGCCGAAAGAAAACGAATAAATACAAATGAATGGGCTTCTTTTCAGTCCGTTTCATATTTATGCCCGCGTCATGGGTTTTATTTTTGGAATGGACTCATCTCTAATTAGAGCAGCCTAGTTCGAGCTCGTGGGCCCTTTATGGGCCTTCAATCATCCTATTGCTATTTGTCTTAAATATTCATACGAAAAAATAATAATAATTCATTTAATAAATGTAACTATATAATTTAATTATATTTTTCTTAAATAAATAAAAATAATAATAAATAGATTTTTGTTTTTTAAAATAAATCTAATAAAATAGATGCAGTCAACAAATGAATATGATGCTTCTTTTTCTTTTCTTTTTTTATGAATGAATAAACACAAGAATTTAGAAAATCAACAAATTAGGATCATTGAAGTGGGTGATCGGTCTATGGGCCCCAACTTGATAAGAGCAGAGAGAAGGTATTTTTTTTATTTTTTTTGTAATAATCAGCTTTGTTAATATTTTATTATTCTTAAAAATAATTAAAATGATTTGATAATTATAATAATCTAATTTATCATTATAGAAAATGAATTACATCACTAATAAACTAAAATTATTTAATCGATAGATCTATATACATATTTTAGTAAACAAATTTGATCATCAAAATATATCATACGGCTCACGTACTAATATGGGAGAAAACAAATCTAGGTAGACATTAACATCACGTGTCCCTCTAAAAAAAAAAAGTAATATATTTTATTTTTGGGCAAATTACATATACCTCCCTCGAGATTCAGCTAAATTACAGATACTCCCTGAAGTTTCCGAAATTACAGATACCCCCTGAGGTTTATATTTTCATAACAAATTGTCCCTTGAAGTTTATATTTTCATAATAATTTGCCCCCTAATTTGTTATGCAAATAGTACCTTCAGGGGGATATTTGTAATTTCTCAAACCTCATGGGAGGTATCTGTAATTTTACTAAACCTCAAGGGGCATATGTAATTTGCCCTTATTTTTTTTAATTGGGTGCAATCGAACAATTTCCTTTTTGATTGGATGCAATAAAACAATCTTGCTTTGATTTGTTGAAAGAGCTTCATACTTATGATGTATAGTGTTCATATAGTCATGCAAAAAAATCGCGTTCAAAACAACCAAGTACTTATATTATCAAATAATCTCACTTAAAACAAAACAAAATTAAATATAATATTTTGCTCTTACAAACAAACAAACAAGCCTCACAACATTGTTCAAAATACTAGGAACATAGAAATGGCTACAAGCAATGTGACCATCAAAACATGTGCAAACGAGTGTGAAACAGGAGCGTCAGAAGTAGTTGAAGGGGGCGAAGTAGAGGAAGAAGAGGAAGAAGAAGGAGAAGATGCAGCATCTGCAGCGACTGTCGTAATCTTAACTTTCATTCCTTGGCCGCAATGGCCTGAAGTTCCACAAGCAAAGTAGCGAGTACCGGCTTTGTTTAATTTCACCACATTGTTGCCACCATTCAAGGAATTGACTGAGCTGGTAATGTCACAACTCTTGTATGCAGTTTCGCTACCAAGTTCCACCACACTGTGCAGCCCTGCAGTGTACTTGAAAACTAACCCCAACCCAAAAAAAACCATAAAACAAAATCAAATCACAACACATAAATTAAATTAGAATGAAAAGATAATTTTTTCACCCATAAATTCGATACGAGACAAAACAAGAAAAGCAGAAAAAAGTTGATAAAGGAATGTTTTTAAAAAAAAAAAATTCTCATAGTAAATTTTCAATATTCTTTGTAGATCTTAGGAATGAAATGCATTGAAATGAAGACATACCAAGTTGATCGCCGACCTTGAATGTCTGACCAGAAGACCATGTTTTGTAGTCTGTAGATTCATCCCAACCTTGGCTTCCCCCAACTACATGTTGTGTCGCGGCCGCAGCTTCTTCACTCATCATTACAACAATAAACAGTGCTACTCCAAACAAAACTTTGTAGTACACTCCCTCCATTTTTTGCTGCAATTTGATTTTCCTTCACTTTCTCCTCGATCTTCTTGGTTGTTGGATCACTCTCATCGTCAACCTCGTCCTATATATATAATACTTTGGTTACTAATCATATCCTCTGTTTTGTTGTCTACAAATAATATTATTCCAAGACATATAATACAGCTCTTCATCAGCAAATAGTTTAATTCCGTAAACATCAATACTCCTTCAATTTTTACCACTTTGCCCTTGTTGGGCTCATTGTTAATTCAATAATTCTAACTACCACAAAATTTTATGTAGAAAATAAATTGTAACATATAGAATTAATTGTGCGTCATAAATCTTCTTTACACATTTTGGTAAAATTTTAAATAATTTTTTTCTAAATATCTAACAAAACTATTATTAATTAACCCACCATGACTTTGAAAATTATTAATTACTATTTTCGAACTATTTTATAGAATTGCCAATATGGTGCTTCTCATAAATAAAGAACTGAAAACACAAGTCAACATTGTTCCATCCCAAAAAAATTTCGCTATGTCATTAACTAAGAGCCTTAAATAATATCTGAATAATTACTCCACGTCTTACCTAGTTAGCTTGGCTTGGGCATTTGTGTGATTTCAAATAAAAATAGGGGCAAATACCAATGACAGACATGGACAATGTTTTGATTGCCCTCTAAGCAAAGTCAGGTAGATGCAGAAGTCGTGGAGTCTTGGCTTTGAAACTAAGCTATAAAACTATTGGTGATCATACTCACAACAGACCTTGTCTGGAAGCTCCTTTGTTCACTGCATTAAAGTTAAACTTACCAAATACAATACGGAAATATTCAAACACAGCCTTTAAAAAAAAAGTTTGGTGAAGTCTTATAGTCGTTGCTTAGTTTCTGAAACACATGTCAAAGGCTTGATTTTTAATGGTTTGTTTGATACTTAATCTACAACTTCCTTCCTAGTTAGCATGTCTGTGTCAAAGATATGAAAATGGGACATCACATTGCTATTGAAATAGCTTCATGTTCTATCCCAGAGAAGCCACAGATCTGAACTAATTTTTTTCATTCACTTGTATGGATAATGAATGAACAGAATATAACCTACTTTTGATTAGTATCCATTGCTCTAAAAGAACTATTAAGAGAGTGAAATATCTATTATAAAAATGGATTGAACAAAATTATCATTTTTACTGTATTGTTCATTTGAAAAGTTGAGTTGATTGGAGATGAGTTGATTTTCAAAACTTACATAGTTTATCTCTTATTTAATTTCACCGTTTATGTGGTACTAGAAAACTTTCCATGACAATCCTAGCCATCAATTCAAGACTGTCAAGAAGGTGATTTTGGTGAATAAGTATTTTTCATAGAATACTCCTACTTAGACTGACGAATTAAGTCAAAACTAAACACGTCAGGGATAAAATTAGCCTGCTACAGGGACTAAATCAGTCAAATGTGAAGTGGTAAACATTTATTATCATCATCAGCTAACAAGTGAAAATTTGAGCCAATACATTAAACTGATGGCCAATCAATGATCATTTTTTTTTTTTTTTTTTATCAATGATCATTGATGGCTTCTGAAAAAAGTAATAACTTGGTTATAAACAATATCCTTAGCAGTGACCCCAATTATGAAATCTGCATGAGCATATTCCTTCACGTACTGAACGCTTAGCTTGTCCGGGTCGTGTAACTTTAGACTGTCAAGCAAAGTTTGCACATCTTTAACATCAGAAAGCGCGTCTTGGCCTCCATAGCTGAGAAACAAAGGAAAGTCATGTGGAATGTTGGAGAGATTATAAACCGGTGGCTTTGATTCCCCATAATGCTCTACATTGTAGTTCACATTTCCATAGTCGTATTTCGCCAAAACTCCATCTCGAGCAGCTGCAATTTCAAATTGCATGAATATCAGTATCAAAAGTCCAAAATCCCGAGCTTAGATCACATGGAATACTTACTTTGAGCCAAATGCACCAGGTTTTTAGTTGCTGTAGATTGAGGCTCATTCTTCAAGAAAAGCTCAACTGTGGAGGCATTGAGGCAGCAATTTTTCCCTTCAACACAAATTTTACATTCAAAATCAGTATGTATAATTTTTCACTGAAAAATAATAATTGTTTGTGTCATGTAAAATGTGGTGTAAAACTTAAAATGTCAATCTGGATACAAATTAGTATACCTGTAATTGCAGTTAGTAAATCATAACAGTCAACATGTGGCTCAGCACACAAAGCCTTGAGAAAGTTGGCCACTGGCTCTCTACTAGAAAGAAAACTACAAGTTTCAGTTTAAGAAAATAGTGTTAAATTTGAAGATAAATGTTACAAAAATGCAATGCACCCAGAAAAAAATATTGAGAAAGGTGTTCATAATTTGAAAGATTTATACTTGGTCTGGTATGGGTCATACATCCAAGATAAATTTTTGTGAATTATTTTTTTGGGTACATAGTATTACTGTAATGTCATGTTTGTTTAGGCGGACTAAATTAGGTTGGATTAACATTCATATGACTAATAGTTCTAGGACAACGAATCTCTTTGGATTGTATATCCTATCCTATATTTGGATTGAGTTAGGATTACAAGGAGGGAGACTTTGGCTTAGTCCTCCAATTTATATCGCACCCCCTCTTATGGGATTGAATAGTCCATCATATGTAGAATATCATATCTAGATGGATTATTAGCTCGTACTTCAATTGTTTAACCAAACATCAGATTAATAATTTTATTGGATTATTAGTCCAATCTCAAACTCATGTCTACCCAAACAAACATGGCCTAAATGTAAAGATTACAATTAGTTGGTTGTTTACCCTTTTGGATTGAATTCATCAAGGCCAAACAACGTTGTGACCTGTTAACAAAAACAGAAATTAATTGATTATTATAGGGGCTACAATCCTTAATTACCTGTATCTTGTGTATAATATTGATTAATTAAGAGAGGTAATCATATATATGAGTTTGAGTACCTCTCCAACAAAGGCTTTGGCTGCAACAACACCAAGTGCAGTGGTCATGTGGCTCAAGTAAGCGATTGGGCTTAGCAACGCTGCTGATTTCACCTTGTCTATTTGTTGTCCTTCTGAGAAGGATGCCAAAGCCATCAATGTTCCCTGTCAAAGTACATTTTATTACTTTAGGAACCAATAATGTAGTATTTAACGCTTGTTTTTTTTGCTAGAGAATCAATGTATGATTTTAAGTATAATAAGATTTGATTACCAGGGAGTGGCCAACATAATGAATCTTCTGGCCAGTTTGTTTGAACACAAAATCAATAACAGCTGGAAGTTCACGTGCCACAAGATCATCCCATGTCCAGTTCCAGAATTCCTGTAAAATTTGTATGGCATTCAAACCTCACACCTCCATTGCTGATCATATATGAGATAGAACTTGAGACATTTATAATATGATGAAATGAAATAGTATGATAATGACGGTCTCTTGATCATGATTAGAGTAGTAAAAATACCGGGTTGGAAGGATCAAGGGTGACGTGTTGGCGGCTGAAGCGGGTGCCTCTAGTATTGGAGATCCACACATCAAACCCGCTATCAGCCAATATGAACGCTAGAGATTCATCAGGTGAATTTAGCAGCCATGTCATTCCATCCTGCACACACACACATAATCATCCTTCACACCCTATATATATTGGTAATATTAAGTGTACAAACTATCAGTAGTATGGCAGTACACATGGTACAATCTGGTACAAAGCATAAATTGTAGCATTCATTTGTACTTGCACATAAATTTTTTAATCCACCCCAAAAAAAAAATAAAAAAAATAAAAAAAAATCCTTCATTGATGAAAATCAAATAAATATTACTTCACTAGGTATACATCAATGAAGGAGAGGGATGGCCCATCTCAATTAGATTGGCACAGAAAAGTATGCCCAATTCATGTGTGAACACAACCCAAAAGAGAGAAGGTTGGAGAGAATCTAACCCAAGACCCACAAAATAAGAAAAAAAGGAGGACAAAAAAGAAGATTATGAGTACACAGAGACAAAAACACATTTGTTTAATTTGTAAGATCACTTAACATTAATTGGACTGAAAATTGATTCGTTGCAGAAACAGTAAGTAGGGTTCTGCTTTCTACCTTCTATATGGGACTTACTTTACACACTTTTGGACTGTTACACCTTAATTTTTGTGAGGAACAAGTGCCAAAGATAGATACAAGAGTCTTTTATTGGACTTTTATCTTGGAGTTTGACATCATAGTATTAGTAGTTACGTTGCTTTTTATAAGGTTGCGTGACACCAAACCATTTACTTTTTCTCCTTGTAACGGCCACTTTTGTTTTCTTAATTCACTGTATGAGTTTCAACTTTTGCACTACACATTGACAAGGCCATATTTATCTCACCACCTAGGCCACCCAAAGACAAAAAACAAAAAACAAAAAATTTATATGCCATTTATCTCCTAATTAATGTGGGAATCATGTTTATCCACATTAGTGACAAAGAAAGAAAGAAAAACAGGCTACAATTTAGAGACAGAAGAAAAAACTAAATTGCAGGTGATGCGAGTTAATGAATAAAAAAAAAATTGATACTCTTAAATATAATCTTTTATGGTGTGTTTGGTTGAGGGATTTGGGGAGGGATTTGGAAAGGGAAAGGGAAAAAGTGGGTGAAACTATGTGAAATATAGGCATGATTTATTCACATTTCACCTACCTTTTCCATTTCCCTTTCCAAATCCCTCTCCAAATCCTCCAACCAAACACAACATTAATTTATTTATAATGACGTGAACTACTGTATGTCATGAATTATTATATGTCATTTCTCAAAGCCCAACCCACCGCCAATGCCATATCACTATGAATTAATTTCAAAGTTATATTATAAAATTTTCTTCACATTTTTTATGTCGATACTTTGAAGTGATCACTTTAGTATAGGCGTAAATTAAGCAATGACCAGTCACTTTATAAAGTGTACCATTCTTTTTAGGACCTTTGAGTAGCTTTTAGCCAATACATCTTCATCTTCGTGATGATATCATCGAGGGAGAAAGACAAAATCAATGGTTTTATGAACCAATTGATTACTGAATTGGTTTCTCCATATCTGTCAAGAAATTAGATTCATTCACATGGACTCCACTGTCCACTCAAAGAACTAAATACATGGGTGTCCATTGATGCTTTGAAGCTTCTCTCAAAGAAATCAAAATTACCATGGACCAAAAAACATGTCACATGACCTTTTTCAAAGTTTGACAGAATCACTACATCATTCCTTTTAGACTGAATAAAATATATGATCTATGGAGCAAGCACTTCTAAGTGCACAGAAAATAGGTAAAACTTTATTTTCTCTATGATATGATATGATTAATGCAACTTCACAGACATAGGTTGACAATGAATAAGCCATTGGTATAAATGTTGTAACATTATTCCCCGTAGCAACAGCATCCTTTGCTATAAATCACTAGGCAATAATTTTGTTAATGATAGTTTTAACACTTCATATTTGAAGCTAAAGGGAAAAAAAATTACGTCATATTTTAAACTACTGTGTATGGCTTTTAAAAAAAATGCAATACTTTTAATTTTAAATTCAATTTGTTGGATTATATATTTTAGTAGTGTACTTAGGACAAGATCATTGCTGTAATGATTGAAAATATTTATCCCTTTCATTGACTTAACTTGACTGAATAATATTTAAAACTTGTTTGTCCACCATAGGTTATTAATACAATGACACCAGCTATTTAGTTGTATTGTTTAAAAAATATTACTTTCAATAGCCGGTGACATTGTATTTTAAACAGTGCAACTAAATATATATATAGAATATATATATAGCACACGTACCACAAGAACCCCATGTTGCAATAAGACAGGCTGCTTCTTGTTCGCATCACCACCACCTCCGACGCGACCTTCAGGAATTCTCTGGACACTTAATATGTACCCATCCTCTGTTTTCACCTGAAAAAATACCAAACAAAATGGCAACCTTACTAGTCCATTACTACTACTGAAGCTCATGTTACTATAAATAGCATGTATCAATCCAAACATTATGGTCTTATCTTACGTTGAACTCCTGGCATTTGTAACCATGTATTGCCACCGCAGCAGCGCACATACCGGCCGGTGGTGTGATGACAGTATTACTACTGCCGGTTAACCCAAAAGAACCACGGCTCAAACCAAATGCTCGATAAGGGTCAATGATCAGCAAGAACACTAGTGCAGCCAAACTTAACAAGCTATGGTGAGCCATTTCTTGCCTTGTTTGAAGGCTCTGATACAAAAGGTGACAAATATATATATATATACACATATATATATATAGAGAGAGAGATCTCTCTCACACACACACACACACAGAAAAGGGATGAGTGAGAATGGAAAGACGAATTGGGTATAACAGACTTGAGAAATTGGGCTTAAAGGAAGGCGCTTTTCACGCTGTTTCTAGTTTAAAGTGAGAATTGGGGTCACTGTTGTGGCAAAGGCACAACAGTGACTGTTGTGCTTCATTTTATGATACATTATAGGATTATTTTTATAATCTGAACCGTTCATTTTGTAGGATTTGTTAAGTACTTCAAGCCTACCAAAAATCATATTAATCGGATACCAATAAATATATGATTGATAACCAAAAAAACAAACAAGAAATTTTTCTTTTGAAAAATAGTATAAAAATATGTAATTCGATCATATAGTTGTTGATATCCGATTAATATGATTTTTGATAGGCTTGAAGTACTCAACAAATCCTACAAAATGAACGATTCAGATCATAAAAATAATCTCATAATATATTATAAAATGAAGCACAATAGGCACTTTGCCACGGCAGTGATCCCAAATCCTTTAAAGTGAGAACGGGAAGGGGAATGGGCAATAGGCTATAGGGGACCCACTTTGAGTTTCCTTTCTTATCTTCAATCAAACTGTGTTGTAATGTGCATGAATGTGTATATATATATGTTTAATATTTGTGTATCATGTATATTATATAATTCCCTTAGCTTTTCGAAGTTCAACTTATTTCAGTTGAAATTTGGATGATGGACTCTCTGTTCTCTAGCCAATTTTTTTGTATTTAACTTATCTGATGTGGGTCTAGTTTCCGGATCTAGATGCTCTCTATTAGAAGGTTGTAATATAGATCTATATCACATCAATAGTTGTGAAAAAAATTGTGCTAACCAAAAATTGATATTGAAATTTTGATCAATCTCAAGCAATGAGTTTGATTCCATCGATTTTTCTTACACCACTACCTTTGGTTTGTTTTAAAAAAAAAGAAGTGATTTTCATATTACAACATGTGTTAGTAGTTAAAATTTATGCAAAGACCAAGATTATGTTAAGGATCCACACCAATGTGAACTTGGCTATAATGGAAGTCAAGTATGATTGCTGAAGTTTTTCAAACCTAGGATGGTTTGCCATTAACTTGGTAGTTGGCAAGCAGAGGCTTCGTTTGGAAAGTTGCTATTTTAGTAGGCTATTTTAGTTTTTGGCTATTTTAGTAAGCTAAAATTTTTGTGTTTGGGAAGATGATTGGATTTTTTGTGGTTGGATGTGATGTTTGTGAGAGAAAAAGTGAAATGATTATGAGTTTGATGTTATATTTTGTCTTATTAACTATTTTAGCCTATTTTGTCTTTTTGTGAATTTTAGCCTAAACTAGGCTATTTTTTTTCTTACCAAACACCCCCAGAGATTGATTTGTTTTTTGGACTCTCCTGTTTATGTATAAATAGGGAGAGCTGTAAGCTGAATTGTATCAATCAGAAAGTGAAAGACAGAGCAAGGAGTGTAATCTGTGAGTGAGAGTACTATAGAGAGAGAGTGAGGTGTGAGTGTTGTAAACTCCTTCTGAGAAAATTTTATAATGGATATCTCTCACGTGGACGTAGACTATTGCCAAACCACGTAAATATCTTGTCTCTTTTTGTTTGTGATTGATTTCTGGTTCAAAGTTATCTTTACACGCCTCACTTTAACCGGTGCGTGTGGGCCAACCCAACATCCGTTTTGCCTCTGCTTTATGCGTCTGGACTCCTCTCATCGAGAGCTTCCTCCTGGTATACTCGAAAGTGAATTTCGAGCAACTTGATTTCTAGGCAATTCTGAAAAACACACCTTGTTTTTCTGAAAAATCAACCAACGAGGCTCTGATACCACTTGTTAGGATTAGAGCACACCAAAAATCAATCACACACAAAAAAGAAACTAGATATTTACATGGTTCGGCAATAGCCTATATCCACGGGAGAGATATCCACTATAGAATTTTCCCGGAAGAAGTTTACAACACTCACACCTGGATTGGCGAGGAATCTGCTCACAACGCCAATTGCGTGAGCTATCATATTCTCACTTGAGAGTTTTCAGATGTAAGGCGTTTACACACATCTCTAAGGAAAATAGACAGAAGCTTGATGACAAGTCCACTCCATGTATATTTGTAGGCTATTCAGATGCAGCATTTGGGTACAAGTTGTGGGACCCAATAAATAAGAAGATGCTCAAGAGCAGAGATATTGTGTTCTAAGAAGACCAGACAGTAGCAGATTTTGAAAAGTTTGCAAAGTCTAGAGATGTCATCACTCTAAACTTGTTCTCATCTCCTGAGTCATCACAAAATGCTAGATATGATTATGTGCAACAAGAAGTGCCAAAGTTGCAGGATCTTATGCCAGAAATTAAGGATCAGGAGGAAAAAGATGAAGACCCGGATGAAGAGGATGTTGAGCAGGGGGGGCAACCCCCTCAATTAGAGGCAATTGGGCCTCAGTTGCGGAGATTTGGAAGAGATGTCGTGCCATCAACCAAATATCTCGGTTCTCAATATATTCTGATTACTGATGAGAGAGAACCTGAGAGTTTTTCGGAAGCAAAGAGTCATACAGAGAAAGATTGCTGGATACAAGCCATGAAGGAGGAGATGAGTTCTTTGCAAAAGAACCATACTTATGAGCTTGTTTCACTTCCAAAGGACAAGAGGGCATTGAAAAACAAATGGGTATACAAATTGAAGAAAGATGGCAACGATAAGCTACTGCAGCATAAAGCTCGCTTGGTGGTCAAAGATTTTGGGCAGAAGAAGGGAATTGACTTTGATGAGATCTTCTCTCCAGTTGTGAAGATGACTTCCATTCAACTAGCTCTGGGATTAACAACTGGCTTGAATTTGGAGGTAGAACAGATGGATGTCAAAACTGCATTTCTTCATGGTAATTTTGAGGAAGCGATCTATATGGAACAACCAGAAGAATTTGAAGTTAAAGGGAAACAGAATCTAGTCTACAAACTGAAGAAGAGTCTTTACAGCCTGAAACAGGCTCCAAGACACTGGTACAAGAAGTTTGATTCATTCATGGTGGATCATGAGTACAAAAGAACAGTAGCAGACCAGTGTGTATAATTCCGAAGGTTTTCGGATGGAAACTTCATCATCCTACTGTTGTATGTCGATGATATGCTGATCATTGGACAAGATATTGCTATGATCAACAAGTTAAAAAAAGACTTGTCGCAGTATTTTGACATGAAGAATTTAAGCCCAGCACAGTAGATTTTGAGCATAAAGATTGTTCGTAACAGGAAAGCCAAGAAGATATGGCAGTCACAAGAGAAATATGTTGAATGGGTGATTGAAAGGTTCAACATGAAAGATGCCAAGCCAGTCAATACTCCGCTGGCTAACCATTTCAAGCTGAGCAAAAGTTCTTGTTCCTCATCTACAAATGAAAAAGAAAAGATGGAGACAATTCCCTACTCATCTGTAGTAGGGAGTTTAATGTATGCAATGGTGTCCACCCAACCAGATATTGCTCATGTTGTTGGAGTAGTAAAAAGATTTCTTTCCAATCCAGGGAAAGATTGGGAAGCAGTCAAGTGGATTCTGAGGTACCTTAAGGGTACATCTAAAATGTGTTTGTGCTTTGGAGGAGCTAAACCAGTCTTGGAAGGCCATACTGATTCAGATATGGCAAGCGATCTTGATGGTAGGAAATCTACATCAGGATTTCTATTTACTTTTGTAGGGGGAGCTATGTCTTGGCAGTCCAAGCTGCAAAAGTGTGTTGCTCTATCTACAACAGAGGCACAGCACATTACTGCCGCAGATACTGGAAATGAAGTGTTGTGGATAAAGCGGTTCTACAAGAACTGGGACTAAAGCAAAAAAAGTTCATGGTACATTATGATAGCCAGAGTGCCATAAACCTAAGCAAGAATTCTATGTACCTTTCTCGCACAAATTACATTGATGTTCGGTATCATTGATGGAAAAATAGTTATTAGAACTGGCCAAGATCCACACAGATAAGAATCCAGCCGACATGGTTACAAAGGTGGTCTCGAGAGACAAGCTCGAAGTGTGCAGCGACATTGCTGGGATGGACTTCCAGTAAGGATCCTACTCCCGATAGGTGTGGAGAGAGAGAATTGTTAAGGATCCACACCAATGTGAACTTGGCTATGATGGAAGTCAAGTATGGAGGTTGTGAATACAAATTTGCTGAAGTTTTTCAAACCTAGGGTAGCTTGCCACTAACTTGGTAGTTGGTTGCTGGCAAGTAGAGATTGGCAAGTAGAGATTGATTTGTTTTTTGGGCTCTCCCGTTTGTATATAAATAGGGAGAGCTGTAAGCTGAATTGTATCAATCAGAAAGTGAAGGACAGAGCAGAGAGTGTAATCTGTGAATCAGAGTACTATAGAGAGAGAGTGAGGTGTGAGTGTTGTAAGCTCACTTCGGGAAATTTCTAGTGGATATATCTCCCGTGGATGTAGGTTATTATCGAACCACGTAAATATCTTGTCTATTTTCTGTGTGTGATTGATTTCTGGTGTGACTTAATCCTAACAGATTATAGTGCATAATCCTTCCCACATTCTTACAAAAACAAGTTATCATGGTAGGTAGGTTCATTAATTTAAACATGAGATCTCCATAGTGTAATCTGGTAGGATCATTGTGAAATCCTTTCAAAGATATGCTCTATTCCATGTATTTTTGTTAATATATGTTTGCACATAACTAACATATTGAAGACAAAAAATAATAATAATAAATAAATAAAAAATAGAGAACAGAATTTTTTTTTATCCACACGGAAAGTAAAAGAAGTTGGTCCAAACTTCCAAGTTGCAATTTGTGATTTTTGCAACTTCATGGGCATACAGCTGTGTTCCTATTTGCCTCTTAACCATTTCTGTTTCAATTCATGATCATATATATATATATATGTGTGTGTGTGTGTGTGTGTGTGTGTGTTTCAATTCATGATCATATATATATATATATATATATGTGTGTGTGTGTGTGAATCATATGGTGCCGATCTCATGACATGTTATGTGAACTCATATCTCTTTATGAAGAAATTATAGAGTCTACATGCGTAACATGCGAACTTAACATATAATTTAAACTTATAAGTGAATAATCTATCTAAGATATATTAAGATTATACTCTTTTTACTCGTTATCTAATATGGGATATTCTATTTTTACACATGTTACAACAATATGATAGTATGAAAACATTAATCATTCTTTTCTTCTTCTTTTTGCCTTTTTCACACCTGTGTCATACGAAAAAGAGTGGTATGGTGCATATACTAGAATCGATTAATCTTCCATGGGCCGCAGTGTAACTATTCCCTTTCGCAAATGAGGATGAGCCTCCTCCGATCACCACCCCCAATGTATTGCAGAGTGGCAGCAGTAGCAGCATAAATAATAACAAAAATGTCTAAGACCCTCTTTTTTTTCCCACCCCCTTTGACCCCCTCTCTCTCTCATTGGTTGAATTTTCTTTTTCTTTTTTTTTTGTTTCCCTTGTCCTCCAATCACCACCTACCACATGTGTGTGGGGGTGGTAGGGTGGTGATTGGAGGGGGTCTCCATCACTCCTCAAATAATAATGAAGTTGTCTGTGTCTGTATAATCATTATATATGAAAATACTTGGAAATGCATTAAAAATTGGAAAACAACTCATGTGCCCAAAGGACTTTCATTATTTTATCTCTCATTTTAATTATGAGAGTTTGGTTTTTTTGACAAAATTCTAGCTTTTCACATTGATGCCCCCCCAGTTCACTTTCCAATAATGGGTAAAGCATCTCTCTTTTTTAATAGTGAGCCAGAGAAATGGTTAGAGATTTCAGACTGGTTCACTCCCACTTCACTCCGGGGCTTACTTTAATTGACGGGTTAGTACTTTTCCTGAAACACGTTTCGGCTCTTTTTTTTTATTTTATTTATTTATAAAATTCATATGGTTGGAATGGTTGGACTTGATTGATTCAATGCAACTTAGGATTGGGCCTCAGTGATGACTTCCTCATATATGGAAGCAAAGAACAATATGAATATTAAAATACATTGGGTTGATTTGAGATGTAGGTTGGCTTTTTAATTATTTTAATTTGGAGTTAAAAAGTCTCATTTGGAATTGATTTTTTAATTTTTTTTAACTTTTGTAAAAAAAAAAATAAAATGATTATAGTTTGGATACGACAATTTATCTTATTGAACTAAAAAACTTATTTTATTTTTTTATAATTAAAATATTTCCAACCTCAGCCAGACCCCCATGCCAAACTACCACATAAATAAAACCAATAAGAGTTTACTATATGGTCGGTTTGCTTTCTAGAAATAGTTTTCTAATATTTTTTTTTAAAAAATAGAGGCTAGTTTGATAAATAAAATAAAAAAAACAAAACAAAATGCCCAATAAAAATACCCAAAAGGATAAAACTCTACGAAAATTATCAATATTTTTTATTTTTTTTACCAAATTATATTTTAGACTTTTATTAAAAGAGAAATTTAGTCAAAATTCCTCCATTAAACCTTTATTTGGTGAAAATGACAGCCAATTTATTTATTTTTTTATAAACTCCCTAAGGAGAAAACACATAATTGAGTAAAAACAAAGTAAAATACTTTTTTCTTAAACAATATTGCTAGAATAATATGTTACTGTGAACCAAAGTGACATGTTACTGTGAAACAGAATAACATATTATAGTCGAATAGAGCAATTGTCAAACAGAAGAACATATTGTCAAACAGAAGAACGTGTTATTATAAGACATAGTAACATGCTATTGTCAAATAGAGTAATATATTACTGTTACTGTTTATATCAATTTCAACGGTAATATTTTTATTTTATTTTTAATGAATTTCATAATCAATTGCCCTTGCGTGTATGAGAAATTGTAATTTCCTCGGACATGCATAGTTTCACCTTGTCAGCCATGCTTCGCATTACGTCTTCGGGAATATTTGGTCTTCATGTGACTTTTGGATAAAATTGATGGCTCATAATGTATGGATAAGATTGACAATTAATAAAGATAATAAAGAATCTTTTTTTGTCTTTATGCCATGTTTGGCAAACATATTTTTGCACCTTTGATTTTTTTTTTTCAAAGAAAATCAAAACTTGAATTTTTTTTATAGTATATAAAAAAATAAAATGTATGAGAGGGTTCAGGAAAGTTGTTAGAAAATTCGAAGATCTTCGAAAATCCTTGAAGAAAAATTTGAATCCTCAAAAAGATGATGAGAGGCTTAGATTCTTCAATAGTCTCAACTAAGAACACAAGAGCAAAGGGATGATGGAGATAAGAGATTGGGTGAAGAAGAAGGCAAAGTAGCTAGAGAGAGAATAATGGCAAGGCTCTCCCATGGATCTCCCACTTTTACTTTCAAGGTTGAAAATGAAGAAGAGAAATTAGTTCTTTCCCAAGAGTTATCTCTCCAAAATCCATTCCTTATAAAGCAATGGATGGGTGCTATTTATAGGCACCTCATGATGTAAGATGAAGCCCATGTGCAAGGCACATAGGGAATATTCTCTCTAACCACCTTGTCCGATGAGGTAACCTCTCCGAGGATAAGGAAAACCCCAAAGAGGAGATCAACCTCTCGGCGAACCCTTCTTCTTAGCCACACCTAACCAATGATCCCTAATCATCCCAAAGGATCAAGGGTAGTCCCAAAGGACGCCCTGCTGCATAAGAGTCTGGGGTAGTTCAAGAAAACGCCCTGCTGCAAATATTGCCGAGTCTCGGGGATCCCCTAGATCGTGTCACCTCGACTCGGGTATAGACTAGTTTAATCGAAGAGTGAATTTATCTCCACTCACCGTCCTCAGGATCGGGTCCTTTGATCGAACTCCATTACGCCCATGGTTCTGGTGCGTAGATCCCGGAAAGCTTCGAGCCCGCAAGTATTCCGGGACTCATTAACGGAGCGACTTCTAGATTGCGTTTAAATCCGTTCGAAGCCGAGTGCTTCGGATCTCTAGGTTCGCGGATCCGAACCCTTTCGAGTTCGAGTGCCTCGGATCTCTAGGCTTGCTCAATACCCTTTCAAGTCCAGGCCCAAGTCTCTAAGTTCGTGGATTCAAACCCTTTCGAGGCTTAAAGCGATTCAGCCCGTTTGATGGCGATAAATCTGGGCCCACCAATCTTGGACTTGCGATAAATTTGGACCCACCAACCTTAGACTATTGGGCCTAATTAATTTAGTAGACTCAAATTAACTCCTCTTACAAACATAAATCTTATTTTATAGATCTTAATGAGAGAATTCTAAAAATATTAATTTTATTAAAAACCAACATCTATATCAAAAGTTATATTATTTTAAAGTTCAATATTTTAATAATACTGATATTTGTTAGACTTTTCAAGAAATTTTATTTTTTTTTTTTATGTTTATCCTTAATGTATTAAAATTTTATTATGAGAGAGTTTTGACCGAATCTCTTTGTTTCAAAAAATTCTAAAAATCAAATCAAACAAGACTGGTTTCAAAACTTTGGGCCTTGCTACATCCCCCTAAAAATACCCCCCTAATCCCCTTAATTTCCATATCAAGTAAAAAAAAAAAAAAAAAAGGAAAAAGTTGCCCAAATTGGAAATTTGGGGGATTAGGGGGGTATTTTTAGGGCTCCAAATCATTTTCCCAAAACTTTATGAGTAGTATATTTTATATAATTGTATTAGACGCAAGGACAGAAGGAAAATGGGAGGAGATTATTCCAATGAGATTGTCAAATATTCTTCCTTTTGGATGATTGAAAAATGATACGAACTCTTCCCTTCTATTTTTCCACACTTCTGAATAATAACAAAGACAAAGGCCTTCTTGTGTGTCCCCAGAATTTGAAGTATGCATAAAATTCAAGAAAATTATATAATAATATTTCATTCTAGAACTCTATCAAAAGTAAATCCATCCAAATTGCACCCCAAGCTTATTTGGAGAACAGAAAATATAATCTTGAAGACAAAGTGGGCTTCAGATAATTTCTCGATGATATTCTTCCTTACCTATATCCTTTTGAATGCAACAATCTCATTACTGCTAAACACCAATTTCTTTAGATATTTACTCAAAATCTCTTGGTTCAAAGTTGAGCTAGTCCGATAGATCTCAGAGCTTTCATATATTATGCTGGTTTCATATACATTGTACTAAAAGGTAATTGAAAACAGTTAATTACCCAATGCTACGTGCAGGACTCTCCATCTTCTTTTTCCTTTCACTAAAGCTACGGCTTGAAAGCATTCTTGGAAGACAACACTGCACGGATTTCATTGGTTTCTCCTTGTCATCTCTGTAAACCCCATTAAGAGTTCTCTCACTACTGCACACAGAGTTAGGTCCAGAGACAAAATGGGTACCAACTTCAGACCTTGGAGGGAGGCCAAGTATAGTAGTCTTAGCTTCCACTTTTCCATTTGACACATTTTGGTTAACTGGTATATTTGGGTCATCAACATCTTGGTCCCCTTTTAAGCTATCTCGAAAAAGTTCAGCTAGTTTCTTCTTCCCATCTGTTGGTGATGGTGACGGTGACGGTGACGGTTTGGAACTGGTTGTTTTGTCATCAAAAAAGGCGCTATTGCCTTGTGGGGTTCCTGCAGAGGAACTCTGGTGAACCGGAGTATTACCACGAGATGGGGTAAAATCTGCATTAATATACATTTAAATATTTAATAAAATTTAAATCTACAATACGACACATTTAGGCCAAGTTTGGCAAGTTGAAAAAAAAGTCAAAAAGTTACTCAAAAAGTTAAAAAGTTATCACTATTCACCAAAAGTCAACAAGTACGGCTGCACAACTCCCAATCCTAATTTTCCCCTACACACTAATTTATACAATTTTTTAATACATATTTTTTCATAAAAAGTCAAAAAGTTAACCCCAACAACCACAATTTTTTCATCAACTTTTTAGTCCAAAAAGTCAAAAATTGCACTTATTTAGGGCATCCCAAACAACCCATCAAAATTTGATGGTGCCAACATGGTTGGTTGGGGAAAAAAATGAAAATTTAGGTTGTTTGTCAGAAGAAGTGAGAGCATTTTAATGGATTCTTACCACCATTAACACTGAAGAAATCATCTTCACAATCAGACTCTAGCCAGGGTTGGGAATCAAAAAAGGTCTCCCCTTTACTACCTGCAAAAAAAATTTAGGCAACAGACAGTTGTGATAGTAGTTTAAGAATATTGATAAAAGAGAAACCGGAATGAAAAGCAAATTTGTTCAACTCCATCAGCCACACAATCCCGATAAAATTGATCTATCTTCTATGCATTTGGTGAAGCCAGCGATTGTGGCTTGTTTAATTTTATTCAAACAATTTTATGATAAATAAATGAATAAAAAAAATACTTCACATGTACTGTCATGTAAAAAAAATAAAAATAGGAGGGGCACTACATATTCCAACATGCTCTAAGGTTTAAATACGACCAAAAAAGTAACCTACAACCACTGACACAGGCAAGACGCAAGCGGGAGCTACCAGCACCCAAACTTCATGAAATTCTACATTGAATCTATATTAATGCTTGTCCAGGCTCATAAATAAAGTTGTACTACCTTTGCCCCTACGATACTTCTAAAGTTTCCTTCTAATCCCTTGGCTCATTCTAAATATAGCACATCACAAAATACTCTATAATTTTGGTATCAACCAAACCTACAAGATAGTTTTACCTTTTTCTTTCACCATTTAAATGTTTATACATTTTCTTTGGTATCGTCTTATATGACAAAAAATATATAAAATCAATGCAATATTGAATGCAGCCATTGCATATATTGGAAGTGTATGAAAATAATATTCAATAAAATAATTTGAATAATTGAAAACATAAAATTTGTAATTAAATCAACCTTTCCAAGAAGAATTTTAGATCCGACATTGCCCATAAAATTAGGATCTAAGCAGTATTTACAGGAGTCATGCTGATAAGACATTCAAAGATGCAAGTAGCAAGCTTTTCCTCCTAGAAAAAACAGTACTCTTAACTAATTGACACAAGCAACCACCAATATTCACATTCAATTAAATGTTTTACACACCCAATCAAAATGAGGACCACTATGGGCAAAAAAGAAGGGGAAAAAAAATGTAATGGATGTACGTTTCATTCAGTCAATCACTACCAGATGAGTGTTGCATAAGAACCTAGGGAATTTCCCATATCAATAATAACCAATGCAATCAACGACAGTTCCATGAACAAGGAACCTATACTTCACTTTCTTTTTCTTTTTTTCATACAAAGACGCAAAGAACACTAGATGTTAGCTAAAATGTGATTAGATGTTTAGAGATTACCTCATTCAGAACCTTGTGGAATATCATGGCAATGACTATAGTTGGTCTATGTGACCTTGGTGTAGAGGTTAGTAATACTATATGCTAAAACATTTTTAACCAACTGAGGTTAGTGATACCGTTATCTTCAATCATTTTAAATACTCAACCATATCGCAAATTAGTTATCCCATCAAATTCCCCAGTCCTCTAGCTGTTGGAATTACCAGCTCAAAGATCAATAATCAACCTAGAAATTCCAACAACTCACAAACTACTGAATTAAAATAGCAACAATTAAGTTTTACATATTTCCAAACTAATATTTATTGCAGTATTAGTTATTTGTTGGTGTCACAATTCCAGCTGTGGATCGGTCAACCTGTAAGTCATCAGATTAGACAATGCATCAAACAGTGAACTCAAATGCTACAACAGATAGTTGACCTCCCTGATTTTCTTTCAATGAGCTGATTTCCAAAAGCCAAACCCAATGGTGAGCAGAACAGTAATAGCATATTAGAACAATCAGTCAAGCCCATAAAGCAATGAGATTGACCAGAAAAGAAGAAGACGAAGAAAAAAAAGGGGCCCCCGGCCAAAACAACTTAGGTGACCCCAAAAATTTTAAATGCACATTGTGTTATAGAAATTAAATTAAAGAATTCTTTCACGAGATTATGCAAGCAGAGTCAAGAAGATTATTAAGCCAGGGCAGGGAAGGAGTGCAAGGATTACATGAGGTCATTAAATGTGCTACGTGTAGGAGCAACAATAGGAGACCTCTGAGAATCATCTCCAGAGTCCAGTTGGAAAGATTAATGTTGACCAGCCATGATAGCACAAAACAGCTGTCCCATAAAATTAATAAATCATCCAACATACATGCAAATAGGGAATCAGGCATTCACATGGATGTCAATTCACTGGTGTTTTATAAGCACACAAACATAAGGAGTTCCACCAGAATTCAACAAATCTAACATAAGAGTAATGTACAGCGATGGGAGCATGCTATACAACATGTTTTTGCTTTCTTAGTATGCTTTAGTAGCAGTTTGTTAAGAACGCCCACATTTGTGGTCCCTTCATCTTCCAAGCTTGCACATTTAATGTGATTCTCAAGGCTTTAGCTTAGCTCTGGCTCACCTATCGTGTTTGATCTGGGAAATTTAGCAGATATCTAATTGTAAAGCCCTATGGTGTTTCACCAGCCTCAATTTAACTGAGAAGAAAGAGAACTTGTTGTACATAGTTATTTAAGAAAAGGAAAATTTTGAACCTCAGATAAGGCAACAATGAGCTTTGCTGTTGAGAAAAGATAAATAAATAAATAAATACCACCCCACTCATCAAACAAGGTTTATTTCGAGAAAATTGTAACCCAACTGCTACAATTCCAAGCAGAGCTATTTGAGGGTTAGAATGGGGAAATCATCTAGCATAATCACAATTCACTAGTCACAAAATCGAAATAACAATAGGGAAATTTAATATTCTTCCTTCACAAAGAAACTAAGGGCAATACCAAAAAAAAAAAAAAATTAAAGAATCTCAAAAAGCCATTCCAACTAACGAGTTATAAAATTCCAAATTCTCTCCTTTGTTTCATCTTCTTTTAGAAGCTTAGAAGCCAAATGAAACATAAGGCTCTAGTTCTTTACATTGAAATTTTTAAAAAAATAAATATAAAAAAAAATACTCCATGTGTGGTACTGTGTGTGACATTAACAGAGGGACAGAGGTATCTCCACCAAATAATAATATAGAGTTATTCCAATAACAGAAGTTGCTTCTTGATCTATCTATGTGGATGGTCCTAAATTATAAATTTTTATAACAATACAATTTTGTCAGTCATTTTCTTTTCAGAAGCAAACAAATATATGAACATAGCATTTGAAAATCATATTTCCAGAGAGAGAGAGAGAGATGATTTGTGTTAGTTTTCAAATCATAAAACATATTCTAATAATAGCCGGGGAAGGGTTTGGGTTTCAATCTCCCACCATTTCTCATGTCAATTGGGTAATGGTAGCCCCAAAAATCTTGAAAAGTAGAAAAACACAAAACACAAAACAGAAAACAAAACAAAACAAACCAAACCAAACCATCAAAACATTGAAATTCAATTCATTTCATTTCATAGCCATGACAACAACAAACATCCACAACACATAGATACCCATTTCATTACTACTTACTTAAAAAATTTATAAATAAAAAAATACTCCTTTCAATGATTTCAATACAGAAAATAAAGATGAATTAAATAATAAGGGGGAGAAAAAAAAAATACCCATTTTTTTGGACTGAAGAGAAAATGCTATAATAAAAGCAAAACAGTACAATTGGCATACCAAATTGAGTAAATAAATTGTGCATAAGCATATCTAGATTGCAGGACAGGAATCGTACCGAAATCACGAACTGGCAGAGATGGAGACCGTTGAGATTTGAGAGCACCATCGGCGATCGGACGGTCACCATTGACGATGGGTCTGTCATGGATTGGTGAAGGAATCACAACCTTATCAGTTTTAGAGCCAAATGATAGTCGGAACTTCATGTTCGAAAACGAGTCCTTGTGGACTGAAGCACAAGCCCCCATTTCTCAACGCACACTGTCAGTGCTAAAAAATCTCAATGCAATTCAAACCACAACACAACACAACACATTTAGATAGAGCAGTAGAAATGGAAGAAGTGACCGAGGGAGGGAGAGATTAGGCTTGAAAGCGAAGCTATTTGTGAGAGAGGGAGAGAGGGAGAGAGAGGATGGGTTGGGTGGGTCCCAACTAAAAGTGAATTAATGGAAAAATTATCCGTATCAATCACAAATTCTTGTGTGTTTTCATGTTTCTTCATCATAAACTCTTTTAACCTTTAAAAAAAATAATAAAAAATCTCTTTTTCTATTAATTACAAATATCCCTCGATTGGGTGAAAATACAGATTTTCTTGAAGTTTGAGAAATTACAAATTGTTCCTTGAAGGTCAAATTTGCACAACAAATTAGGGAGAAATCTGTATAAAAATAAAAACCTCATGGGACAATTTGTTATGAAAATATAAACCTCAAGGGACAATTTATAATTTCTCAAACCTCAGGAAAAAATTTATATTTTCACCAAACCTCGAGGGAGTGTTTGTAATTTGCCCTAATTATAATGAGTATAGGGTGCCATGTACGTACTGACCAACCAATAACTTCTCGAATTAAACCACGTTTCACCTAGTAAATTTTGGAATTAAAAGGTTAAAATAGTCATAAAAATATAAATTAAATTAAAAAATTAATAAGATAAAATGTCACGTTTAAATTATAATTATTTTATTTTTTCTCTCATAAAAATTAAAAAATTCAAAAAAATGCATTCTAAGGCCTCGTTTGGCAACAGACCGGTTTAGCCAAAAAGTCAAAAAGTTACTAAAAAAATTAAAAAGCCAACAAACCATACCAAAAAGTCAAAGATTCTCTTTTCTCTTTATTTTTTGCACATCTTTTCGTAAAAATTCAAAAAGTCATCCCAAACATACTAGTTTTTTTTAGCTCATATTTTAACCAAATAGCTAAAAAGTTACTAAATTAGCTTGTTCCCAAACGAGGCCTAAGTTTTCGTTTAGCGTTAGCTTTTTAACTGAATTTTTTGTGTTTGAATTTTTTTAAATTGATTTTTATAGCCTCGTTTGGTTTGGTTTTTTTTATTTTTGTAAAAGAAAAAATATAATAATTATGGTCTGAATATGACGTTTTGTCTTATTGACTTATGTAGTCAATTTTGTCTTTTTTGTATTTTTTTAGCCAAAAATCTAAAATTAAACGAAACTTAAATAAATTTTTTAACTCCAAATTAAAATAACTACAAAATTAAAAAGTCAACCTACATCTCAAACCAGAAAATTTTTTTAATAAGCGCACAACACTATGTAGCTATACTCCAAATCAATCACCAATTACTTAACTCCTAGGCCCCGTTTGTTTTGGAGTATGAGAGGGGGATTGGGATTAGGATAGCTGTGGACCCGATTTAATGTGCTGTTTGTTTACAGAGTTGAGGAAGGGACTGCTAAGCCGAAGGGCTTAAGATAGGCCTTGCAGATGGGATTCGGATGGGCCTTCAGGACTTAGTATTAGAAAAATAGTCCAACAGACTAGAAATTTTTTTTATTTTTTTTATTTTTTACATGTCAGGCATTGTTTTTTGAACATTAATGTTTAATTTTTTGTATTGTTAAGTAAAAATTGTTATTTTATTTATTTTATTTTTTTTGAAAATTTTTTATTTTATTTTTATTTTTTAAATTTTTTTTACATGTTGGGCATTTTTTTTAAAACATTAATGTTTAATGTTTTTGTTTTTTTTATTTGTTTTATTATTTTATATTTATTTTATATAAAAATAATTTAACAATCCCTACACTAACAACTATCATAAAAACAAACACAATTTTACTTAATCTCCTCACTATCAATCCCCTCACTAACAATCCCTTCACTATTAATCCCTTCATTATCAATCTCCTCCATTTTACCTCTGAAAACAAATGAGGCCCTATATTGTTCTTCTATCCCTAACATAAATTGTAAGTTTCTACCCCTCTCTACTAATTAAAACTTTATAAAGCATTACGTGTCTATACGTTAGAAAACATCCATCAAACCAACTCTAAAAACATCCCTAGCAACTCTCTTATAATAGCAAAAAATTCTTCATAAATGGTAGCTTAGTAGATCCCTTATCCAATCTCCCAAATGTAAGTGTTTTTACAGTGACTCCCTATTTATAGGGAGTTACTGTAACTCTCTCATATGTGATAAATTGCTATTTTATTTCGTTGAAGACATGAAGGAGACGTCCTTCCGGATGTCCTCTGTATGTCCCTCCAAATATCCTGTGATGGCCTGTAACTAGAGAAGAAAAATGCCCAAAATTGGCTTGATCGGTCGTCCACCCTTTTTTGTTTTTGGCTGCTTCGATCTACTTTTCACTGGTCTGTTTTGCACTTTATTTTGGACTTATTTTGCACTCTGTCTTAGATCTGTTTGTTGGAGGAAGTAAAATATTATTTTAATAGAACAGAGAAAGAATAAAGAGTCTGTTGAGAGAAGTAATAAAAAGTAATTCCTAAAATAGGAAATAAATTTTTTAATAAAATTTAAGATAAAATATAAATAGACTGTTAGAAATGCTCTAGGGCCTTATTTGTTATAGGCAAAGTTTGGAAAGACTAAATAAATGTACTTTTTGACTTTTTTTGTATTATGTGTAAAAAAAGTAGAGAGGAGATGTTGATTGATGTGACCCAAAAAAGATAAAAAGATAAAATAAGTGCACTTTTTTATATTAGCCAAACTTGGCCTTAAAAAGTTAAAAAGTCACTATTCTATTTAAATCACATCATCTTATTTAAGTCACATCACTTCAAATCTAACTTATACCCAATTCATATTTCATAAAAAGTTAAAAAATACATTTATTTAAATCCTCCCTAATCCCCTAAATTTGACCGTTAAACGGAAAATAGAAAAGCTGACTTTAAAAAGCTAAAAGGCTTGGCTCCGTCACTAATGCTATGGCAGAGTGGCAGTGGCTCAGTTTCTCGAGGCTCTTGTTTGGTCGCCCATTATGGAGGTGTTTGAAAAAGATTTTTTTGGGATTTGGACAAAAATTTACATAAAGATAAAATAAATTAAAATAATTAATAAGATAAAATATTACATTAAACTTATAATTATTTTATTTTTTCTCTTATAAATATCACATCTAATTATAAAAAAATCTAATTATATTTCTAAACACAAATTTTTGACCTATTAAAATAGTCAAAAATTAAAATAACTTATTAAAATAGTAAACTTTGCAAACGAAATCTTAATATTGTGATTGATAGATAAAATGAATAAGTAACATATTTTATTGAATGATTCAAAGCGTTATGAGAGTAATATATGAAAATAATGTTAAAAATTTTAAAATTTTTTTTATCAAATATCTCATTCTCACATAAATATAAGACCCACGTTATATGATTCCCACCACCATATAAAACATTTGTCAAAATTTTTAATAAAACTTTTAGATCTCTACCATTTTTAATTCTCTACCATTTTTAATTCTATAATTCTCCATCCATCCCTCCATCCCTCCCTCGCTCCCTCCATCCAACGGCTATGTGGCGTGAGGATTTTGAAAAATTAGAGGCGTGTCTTCTTACGGTTTATAAAAACCCAAATCAAGAAAAGTGAGTTTTTTAAAAAAAAAATTAATTTTTAATTCATATTTTTTTAATTTTTTAAAATTAATATTTATAAACAAATCTTTAAAATTTTTAATTAATATAAAAAAATACAAAAATAAATTTTTTAAATAAATATAAAAATATATTGAATTTTTGTGATCACTTGATTACTTACTTGAGTGTTCAACAAACGTGTTTTATTGTTATGAAATATTTCAATTTTTAAAAATATCATTTTTAATGACGTGAATTATTATATGTTAATTATTAAATCATCTAAAAATTCATTAACTAATAATTTTTTATTATTAACTCAATAAAAATAAATTTTAAAAAATATTTTCAAACCATTTTAAAATTTGTTGTTTTATAAATTCAATTTCCACCCTTGCTAATGTATCGTTTATAAACATGTTATTTTAATAAATTTTTAATTTTTTGTTAACTTATGAAACAAAAAAATTAATATATTTTTAAAATTTATTTTATAAAAAAATGCAAAAATTAGGAGAAAAAAATAAAATTGTATCATTTGTTGGCACTTTAATTCTTTAAATATGTTTTTTGATTTTTATTATGTTCTCAAGTAGGAAAATAAAGTCCAAATCCTCTCCGGTTTCTCTCTCTCTCTATCTCTCTCTCGCCGTTCCTCCCAACGATAATTCAAATAGAGTCACATCACCTAAAAAAAATAAATAAACAGCTCAAATTTGTTTCGTTAAAAAAAAAATAACAATAATTCATCCCACTAAAAACATCACCACTAATAACACTAATGCATTAAAAAAATTTAAAAAAAAAAAATACAACTTCAAGACTAAAATATCACATCATTAATGACGAGACCCACTACCACCTAATTAATAGAAGCATAGTGCCCCCCAAAACCCACTACCACCTAATTAATAGAAGCATAGTTGCCCCCAAACATTTTTCAAAAAAAAATGCATAACCACTAACACACACTCACAGCGCGCGCACACACTCTCTCTCCATCCCTTTCTCACTGACACACACTCAAAGCGCGCACACACTCTCTCTCTCTATATATACATATATCACATTTCTAACCAAAAAAAAAAAATTAAAAATCACGCAGACTCTCTCTATCATATTTTTAATAAAATAATAAAAAAATTATTTTAATTTTTTTCATTTTATTTCCATAATATATATAATTTTTAATATAAAATTTAAATTTTTATAAAATTAATATCATTGAAAATATATTTTTAAAATAAGACTAATATTAAATCTATTTAATGAAAATTTAAAATAAATAAAAAGTAATTACTATGTTTAGTTATGCTTTCAAAGTATTATTTTTAAAATATACAAATTATTTTGAGGAAAATAAACACACAAAAATCATATATTTTCAAAATTCTCAAAAATAATCTTTATTCCAAAAAAAATATATGAAAATAATGACTTCTGTGCATAGATGTAAATTTTTTATTTTCTTTAAAACACAAATTTAATCTATGCATAGATGTAAATC